TGTGTTTTTTCTATAAGGCACAGATTTGTTATCACATAGAAACAGAGAGAGAGAGAGAGAGAGAGAGAGGAAAGGTGCTCTTGTCGATTTTTTTATCTTAAAAGAAATATTGAGATATGAAGAGTATGAAAAAATTTTAAAGATAAACCCAATAGATTTATATAATTGTTTCTGCTTCAACTACCTAATGGAAGGTTATATCATTGAACAATCCGATCAGGTTCCTTCACAACATAATTGATGTATTACTCAAGAATGAGCCAATGGTTAAATGTGCCATTTAAGTGACTATTTCCGCTTTAGTGATAGTGGTTCAGAGCTGAAATTCAGTGAACTCGATAAATGTTGCGAGGAAGAGCATTTAAAGTAGTCGTTGAAAGTGAAGACTGCCTTTAATTACTTTACAGAAGAAGGATTTTTATCACCGATATTGGTAAATTACTGGAAAGATAAATTAAAGTGAATTAATGTCAATTTTAATTCGTTTTTTTTGCATTTCTGTTTATGGCATTTTCTCAAGATAACAGCTTTTCTATTTTTTTTTAACTCATCACACGAATAAATGATTATCTGGTTAATATTCAAAGTTCTGTTTTCTCGCCTTATGAGTATCTAATTCATTGCTATGAGCGAATTGTGTCTTTAATACATGCATATATATATATATACATATATATGGATAGGTTGATTGATGGATAGATCGAAAATAAACTCCGTACATATTTAACTATTCACAGCTAGAGTCTAAAAAAAATAAAATAAAGTCATTCCCTTCATGTTTCTGATAGATATCCGAATATACATGTGTATGTTATGTTTAATGCGAATCAATATCTTTCAGTCAACTTTTCAGTTTTGCATTTCTATTATTACTCAGGACGTTTAGGTTTGTCATTAATCACTCCTCAACTATGGCAGTTTCAGAAATATTATTTATCTCTTTTTAATGCTTCTCACTTTGTCGAATTTCTATATGATTTACATGGATAAACTTCATTATCAGTTCATCGTTTTGAGTATAATACAAAATCCAGTATTCACATCTTCAATGGATTTCGAAACATTTTAAAGAAAAGTATATCGACAGTGAAAATTGATGACAGGAGTCGTGGTGGCGCACTGTCGACGAGTCTCATACAAGGACGAAACCGTCGTCCAGTGCTTCCAGGTTTCTAATAGCGGTCTAAATGTGTAATTTTATAATATGCAATAAATCAATCAGCTATGACAGTGTAGAATGTATTTGCCACAGTTCGTCATGTTCAATAATCATGTGGAAATCATAAAAAAGTTTACTATGATGTTTGACGAATTACTCCAAATTTGATAATTCCATATTCAAACTATCTATAAAGATCATCAGTCAAACGCTTTAATGTGACTAGTAATGAGCAATAATTACACACTGTTTATTTCAGTTGTAACAAAGTTTTACTGATTTATGCTCACATGATGTTTTGCAAAATAGTTTAACATAAGTGTAATCTTGACTGAACAGTGGGAAGAACGTAATTGATCTGAAAAATGTTACGTATTGGCGTTATACATTTCTAACTATCTGATCACACATATTCACCTGTCAAGGTATTTTATATGAAGATTAATAAAAGGTCAATTAAATAAAAGTTGAAATAGATATAAGATGATAATTGTAAATGAAGGAGAGAAAAACGTTGAAAAACGAATTCTATGGTTTAAAGAAGCCTTGGCTATTCGTAAATTAAATACCCCCTCTTATGTGTATCGGAACGGTTATTATAACCTTAGATTTAACTTGGTAATTTTTAAGCCTACGGTTATACGAACATTTTCTACCCTTTATTATTCTTTCTATATGACGTTAGTTCTCTCTATCCCCTTCATTTACAATTATCACTTTAATTTGATTGACGTTTTATGAATCTTGAGATAAAAATGCCTTGACAAGTGAATATGTGTGACCAGATTGTTAGAAATATCTAGCACAAATACACCACATTTTTCAGATCAATTACATCTCACTGTTCTATCAAAACTTATAAAAGGCATTATTTGTTTTAAATAAATGCAATCAACAACATTAGTTACCACCAAATATTCACATATTAAAAGTAGTAAGTTGATAACTAAGTAACATTAATTCATGAAATGTTTCGTTATTTTACCACTCATTCCCTAGCCCCAATTGATTGAGTATTAAAATCACTGGTCCGACAAAATTCAATCTCTTCTTTAACTATACTATTTATTTTAGGGCAGTTTAAATCTTAACCTGATTCCAATTAAATAATTATCGATAGCTAGAAAGTCCACACCGGCTGCTTCGCTATCATATGGGAATCCTTAAGACTCTATTCCTTCTACTTAATTGTACCTTAAACCGATAACTTGCAAGTTGGTCTCTCTAACATTTTGAACTAATGAGTTTGTCAAGTTGTTACTTCAATTACTATCTAGATACTCAATAATCACACAACTACTATGATCTCTAACGCTAACAAAACTGTTCAACTATACAATTTACTACTAAATAAATATTTTTCAATTAGAGCTGTGGAGATTAGTGTCTTTACACTATGAAATCATCAATCTATCATTGTTAGATCACCATTAGAAACCTGGGCTGTTTTGTCCTGGTATGGAACTCATCAGCAGTGCGCACCCACGAATCCTCCTCAGTGATTGATTGATGATTTTAATGGGTAAAAACACTAATCTCATTAATTCTAGTTGAAAAATCGTAAAATGTGCCAGCTTCGTCAAGGAATTCTTGGAGTTCTAGTGAGAGGACATGAAAAGTGGAGTTCAAAGCTGCCGGATGTAGGCAGTAAAAACCGAAGAAAAATGAATGAGGTCGCGCGAAATCCCTAGATTGATCAGAGTTAGTCATTAACACCGTTGGATGCCGGCCTAGTGGTCCAAAGGTTATGCATTCTCGTGCAAGACCGAAGGACATGGGTTCGAATGCTGCAAGGTTCAGGAGTAGTGGATGCGCACTGGTGATGTGTAAATAAAATATACTGTGAACTTAACAGTCAACCAGAGAAAGAGATAGAGAATTAGAAAGAAAGAAAAATTCCTGTTTTTTGGATTTAATTTTAACATCGAAAAAAACATACATTATGTTAATTTATTTCAAAACATAATTCACATTAATCTATTCATACCGAAATATTGATCAATATTTGTCTGAAATGTTGGTAACTCATTTTTTTTCTACAATTCCTAACTGAGCATATGTTTTCCTTCTTGTTCATAAAAACTGTTTTTGCAATTAGTTTCTAAATTTTTTTCATAAAGAATTTGAAAAATTTCTAAAAAGTCGATACGAACTAGAGTTCTAAAAGAAAGTCCTATGAATTGAATCAAAGATCAATTTCAGACACTATGGTTTAAATCATCTTTTTGTTGATATTTCTCAATGAAATTTGGATCAGTCTTAGCTGCCTTGGGTATCCTATAAACACAATATTCTATTGTGACAGTGGACTGACCAGCTCATATCTAAATTGGGAATTAGGAACGGACGTCGGAGGGGGATAGGACACATACTAAGAAATCAAAAAGTAACGCGTTATTTGGGATTTTCAAGGTCAAGAGAAAAGAGTTAAGAGAAAGAACACATGGCTCTATGAATTGGAGGCAGACATCAAATGACTGAGTGGTGACTAATGGTAACGACTGGATAAGAAATCTTAGAACAAAGTACGTTGGTGTTTGATCTTCTTTGATCTATGCCCCTTGAGGAATAACAGGAGTAACTTCGTGGATCTTTGAATTATTGCCAGAGTGCAAAAAACACGATATTACTGATGTTGATGACCAACATAATGTGTTAAAAAGAAATAGTACATTTACTGTTGCAATCATCATTCCCTTTAAATTCTAATAGACAAAACATTTGAAGTTGATGAATTGCTACCTACTGAACCCAAAATTAACTCTGGCTTTGATAATAGTAAATTTAAAGAAGGATAAAAGCAAATGGACAACTTACTTACTTATGCCTGTAACCCTCAATGGAGCATAGGAAGCCGCCCAGTATTCTCCAACATACTCTGTCCTGGGCTTCCCTTTCCAATTCTGTCCAATTATTGTCCATTCTTCTTATGTCTATCTCCATTTCTCGGCGCAATGTGATCCATGGCCTTGCTCTTTTCCTTTTACCTTGAGGGTTCCAAGAAAGGGCTTGTCTGGTGACGCATTTGGGTGCTTCGTCTCAAGTTTCCTCCTCTTTCAGCCTTTCCCGCTGTCATCGCTAGATCTTCCACATATTTACGTTTGTCGGTTCTGATGCTCCTCTACACTTGCCTGTTTGCTTCTGTGTATTCAGCTTGTGCGTTGTTCAGCTGATGTTGATTGCAGCCTTCTTGTTCCACATATCTTCAATTTTTTTAAGAGTATCGAAAGAGATCCATTCCTTGACCCAGAACCTCCTGACATGTGTAAGTGATTGCCTCCTTGATCCCTTTCGGATTGTTCTCCATGGTTTTTTCTTATCCATTGAGTAGATCGTTTAAAGCCTGGAACCAAGTGCTGAGGGCTATCTTGAATTCGTTGAGTTTTACAGTATCCTGAAGAAAAGCCTATCAAACGTTTGTGATGTTGCCTGCCCCGTTATCCAGTGTTTCTTGAGTTTCAGTTCTACTTTAACGACCAGCAAGTGGTGATCTGAGGCTATGTCAGCTCCTCCCTTGGTTTTCACATCCTCCATGGTCCTTCTGAACTTTTTATTGATACAGATATGGTCGATTTGGTTCTGAGTAGTGTGATCAGGTGAAATCCATGTTGCTTTGTGTGTGAGCTTGTGCGGGATGAATGAATTTGATTTACAAGTATTGAAACAGCTCAGATCTAGTTTTTCAGTGGAGATTTTCTCATCTTAACGAACGATGTATCCATTTAACTGTATTTCTTAGTCATTGAAAAATGATTATCAAACTTCCTTTTTACACCCAAATTTTCATAGAGCAAAGTATATCTATTTATTTTCTTTTTATTCGCTCATTTTTCTTTATCAGAGCTGGTCAGAAACTTGCCATTACAAACAATTCAAAACGTAAACGTAAAATTTTAACCAATGATCTATCTGATCTAAATCATTTATCTGGTTATTGTACAACAACTTTACATCGTTACAATCAACAATCAAAATGTATCACAGGATTTTCCGATGCTGTTCATCATCATCCACCCCCGATGCCTCCAACACTTTTGAAATGGGGTCGAAATGGTACAAACAATTCTGTATTAAATAATAAAACTAGTAAAGTAAGTGAATGCCACATCATTATCATTCATTCATTCAGTATTATGTACATAAAATTTGAATTTTTTTCATTTAGAAAAAAAACACTTTACAAGTTGTATCATTCAAGGTTGGTTTTTTATTTTATTATTGATAGTAAAAATGTACACACTAACCTAATTATTATATTATTGATTTGATCGATCGATTGTTTTCTATTCCACCGAAGTGATATAGTTGTTGTGAATCAAAATTAATTTTCATTTATTTATTTAATTAAATCATTTCAAAATAGAAAACGTTCATTTGTGCGCATGCGCATTTCAGCCTGATTAATGATAGTTTTTTTTAAAAAAAAGCTTAATTGAATCATTAACTAAATGCTAGTTAATTAAATTTTGATAAGTGATCTTCCATGAAATATCTAATTGTGTTCTTTTCTTAAATTCACTTGGAAAACAACATTTGAATAAATGAATAGATATTAAGAACGTTTTATTTTGTTGAAAAGAAAAAAAACTCATTCAACTATAAAGTTAGTCAAAATAATATGAGAAATGATAGATACCAATGTTTAAGATTGTTATTTGGATAGTGTTCACAAGGATGTAGTCGCTTTACTCTTAAAGATACCCAACCTGAATTGGGTTATGAAACAACTTGGGATGATTGTCAGAATATTAGTTCTCTTACCTTTGCAAAGTGATATGATGCGGCTAGTTTAATGTAAAAACCGCGTGCCTAAAATTGAGTTGTCCACCAAAATTGTGAAATTTAAAATACCACTCTTTTGTCGTTCTTCTAGAGAAAAACTTCAGTCCCAACTTAAAAATTAATTATCCCAAACGGTGAACTTTGTAACAAAACATTTATTACTAGTTAATAGATATTTGTGTCTAACGTAATACACTTTATATCAGCAAAACTATTATTCTAAAAGGTATATCATCGTATTTCACGTAAAACAAGTAAGAATTGCATTGCTTGGCAGATTGTAAATCTCCTCATTCAAACCTTAGCTAGGTCAGTCAAACTGTAAATTCATTGTGGCCAAACAATTCACAGGAATACAGCGAACAATGATTGTTTTATAAGCATTCTTTATAGTGAGTTGATAATAAACTGTACTTTATTGGTGAGTAACGTGATTTTAGTGTGAAATTATGTTAACTGCACGATGTAATAGTCGCGTCCAACCATATCCTCTAACAAGTTTGGCAATGAAATGAAAGAAGATTAGTAAACTGAAGGTAATATATTTTCTATATTACATGTAATAATCCACTTATGCAACTCGAAATGCTTATCACCTAAAGCTTCAAATCACGTTAATCTGCTTACCTTGAACTACATGCTATCTATCTATCTATCTATCTATCTATCTATCTATCTATCTATCTATCTATCTATCTATCTATCTATCTATCTATCTATCTATCTATCTATCTATCTATCTATCTATCTATCTATCTATCTATCTATCTATCTATCTATCTATCTATCTATCTATCTATCTATCTATCTATCTATCTATCTATCTATCTATCTATCTATCTATCTATCTATCTATCTATCTATCTATCTATCTATCTATCTATCTATCTATCTATCTATCTATCTATCTATCTATCTATCTATCTATCTATCTATCTATCTATCTATCTATCTATCTATCTATCTATCTATCTATCTATCTATCTATCTATCCATGAATTTCTCCATTACGTATTGTAATTTGTAATTTAATCTGTTCTCTACCCGTACTTCAATCTGTGCTGTAAACTGAATTAGACAGTGATTTAATATTTGTCATATTTCTCAGTTATTATTATGTTCATTTTAGTATTTACAATTTACATATGAGAAATATAAATGAAGCCTTATCTATTAGACCGTAGGGAATTTCTTTATAACATTCAATTGAAACAGTACTAATGATTGAAATTTTACTGATAAACAGGATTTTATGCTGTTTTTCATACCGTCACACGCAATCCTCCTGTTAGTAGTTTGAAAGAGCTCATTTTATAAAATCTGTTGCTGAATGAAGAAGAAGTTTCATCAATACATTTTAACATGCTTAAAAAACCATTATTTCATTAATGTTTCTACTCACAGACCTTGATTGTATCATTAAGGATTGCTTAACCTAATGATTTACAAAATCTTTGTCTAGTACATCGAAGGTCTAAAAATAATCTCTTGTTTTTTAATGTTTTCTTTTTATTTTAAAAAAAATGGTATTGTAATTAACTTTTAGACGCTTATCCACTAATAATACAACAAATAAAGATCTATAATTATATTGGAAGATAATGAAAAACTTTTACGTATGACGTAAAACTAATAACAAATCTACACGTATATATTCATTTAATCTCATAGGTAAATTCAGTCCATATTCTTTTGGCTAACAATGAATATTTGTTTAGCCATTAAAATTTATTGAATTAATATGGTATATTGTCTACTGTGTTACTGAAAATACACGATAAAAAATATATTTGTTTAATGATATAACTAGAATTCATCGATGGCAGTTATTAGATGGCTTATCACTATCACAGAATTCCTAATGAGACGTATCAAGGAGTACAAGACTAGATGGAGAATATACCAATTATTTACAAGCATAATCTTCAAACATCTATTTGCGATACTAGGATAATATTGACTATCTTTTCTCACTTCTACTCTGGTCCTCAGTATACTTTGATCACGTGATGCATCTTGATAGCCTGAGCACCTTCTCGCTGATAACAACTTGTTGATAACTCCCCACTGCATACTACTTATATGCCACTCTAAGAGTAGTATTCACTGCAATAGGTGGCCAGAGGATAACATTTTTTCGGGAAAAAACTCAAAGTTGCTATTGATCTTGGTAAATTGGTGAAAATTAAGTAATTTTTCAATGAGCTAAATTTTTTTTTCTCAGTTTCATTCCTGACTATGTAAACAACTTTTCATAGACGGATTCTATGTAACAACAGTAAATTCGACAAACTGGAAATATTTCTGATATGCATTTTAGTCTTCATTTTGTTTGATTTTCAGAGTAGTTCTACTTAAACGAATTGTTTGATAACTAAAAATAAACCAACTCATCGGTGCCTGTGTGCAGATTACCAAAATAGGTCATGATTTGGTTTTAACTGAGTGAAATATAACAACGAATACTCATTTCAAGGTGATCAGTATTTGAAAGCATTTACTTTATTCTATGTGTAGCAGCTGGTTAGATATACAATGGTGTATATTACCCATACACTGTATTTAAATCAGAAATCTCTTTTTGTTAACTAAAGTGTTTAATTGCCTATATGAGAATGTGATTGCCTGCAATGATCTCAAGTCTTTAAACACTTCAAAAAAAATTAATCTCATTAACGCCAAATTAATATCTCTTCGTAAAAATTATTGTACTTTCAAGCCTATCATCTGCAGTAATATCATGACAGTTATAAACAGTCTCCGTCTAGGGTCTAATAAACCACTTGGTTGGAAGCAAATTATTTAAGATTCATCAAATAACATCATGCCAAATTACATACTTTCACGCTTACTTTTTATGATGTATTAGTTTTAAGGAGCTCTATGCTGACCAATCTCTCGAAATCATTTTCCATTTGTACATATGAATATAACTGACCTAAAATTGTGGATAACAGTTTTTATTTTATTTCTTTGTCAATCACTCATTTTTAATTCTGTCTCTTAAAACAGATTAATTATTCTATTTAATTTAAAGCTTCAGTAGTCTTAGATGATAGATTAGTTTATCAATTGTCCTTGTAATAGTGTTTAGTCATTTATATGACATTTTATAGGATTCTAGTATACTGACTAAGTATTGCAACAAGACATTGTCAAACGTTCTGGATGAATGAATTAGCAATTTGTGTTGTGAATGTGGGAACTATTCCATAGAATTCCTCTTATGTTTCCTGTTATAAGTTAATCGAAATAACTAAAAGTATTTTTTAAACCTAAATGTGTTAATGACTCTGAAGAAGTGTTTGAACATAATTTTGAATAAAAAGTTTGATCAGATGTTATTTCAGCTTTTAATGTAGCTTTGACATTCGATTCATGAGTGGATTTAAATAAAAGGGGGATAGAAAATCAGTGGACGTAAGCATTCTGAAATCCTCATCGTCTCTTAATTAATCTATTGATACAAACTGGGTTTTGATTGTAGATAAATTTGCAATCAGTCAGTCAGCTACAACGTAGAACTTCGTACATGAGTAATTAAGTTCAGGTTGCCATACCGCATCAGCACACAGACGCATTTGTCAGTTCAAATCCCATAGTGGTAGAGATAGTAGAAGTATTAGCAGTAATGGAGAAGATTAGGGTCCTAATATATGATTCAAGAAGTATTATTCAGTGAGATAACTTAGGAAGAAGAAAGATAGAGATGATGAGAAATTCAGAATGTTAGAATTTGAGAGGACACAATGAATGAATGCACCTGTGCCATTGCAAACGATTTCGAGCCATGCCATTCAAGGTCTCTAACCATCGGCGAGACGAAAGTCACCGATGGTTAGAGAACCAAAACAACTAAGAACTATTAAATTTTGTACATCTATGAAGAATAATTATGAATAATCCATATTATTATACACATTCAGTTAATAGACGAACAGAACAAGCTAGAGAGAAACATTGACGAAATGAAACAACAGAGCATTAAAAAATATGTGTCATAGATAGGTTTCATCAAGGCGATCCCGGTACAACCGAGACAGGCACTTAGATTACACTGTAACAAACAAATAGTCCTTATTTGAACACTAATTTCCCTATAGAAGCAGAAATTTTTTTATGAACCTGGTGTTAGCATTTCAACTGATTCACTGTTTTTTATAAAAATGTTTATAAAATTCTAATTGATTTGATTCATAGACACTTAAAAACAATGTCTACATTTCCTATCAACTTCTATGCTATCACAATAACAACTTGATTATTCTAGTTTAGTGGATTTCGTATCTAACTGATAGTTGTTACAACTAATCTTGTTCAGTAGTATGTCCAACCTACTATTAATTTTTTTTCCAAATAATTAATTATTTTCTGTCATACAGTATTCAATTAATAATAAAAATATTATTATTATTGTTTTTGTCAACATTGTTATGATCACTAACAACATTATCATATTTTTTAGCTGTTATAATAAAATTTTGTGTACATTTTTCGAAATCGCTCACGTCAAGATCTCTCTTTGCTTCTATAAACTGAACTTGTATAAATATTGAGAAGTAATTGTGGTAGTTCTTTACTAATGCATCAAATAACTCTGTCAATCTTATACACGAAATATTTATTTGTTCATAGAAGTTGATTGTTAATTTACAAGCATCTTTAGACTGATATAACAAATACTTTGCAGATAATAATTATTGTTAAGAATTTTTAAAATTAAGTATTCCTTCTAATAAAAAAAACATCTACTTTTTGTGTTTTGTTGTCAATAGGTCAAAGTGATATTACACTTAAGATCTGATCATGAGATTGACAAAGGATCACAACCGAAAATTTCATATTTAACAGTAGAAAAGCGTAAAAATCAAGTTTGTTTAAATGATCCAAATATCATTGGAACCGAATCGACTACATCTCCGAAAGGCACAAATTTACATGGTTCAAAATTATTTGCAATGGATGGAATTTTTACTGAAGAAGATTCAATGGTAAGATTGATATTTATAGACATATTAGATTGTGTGTCCAAATATCATAAAATATAATTAGTTTCCAAGAAAAATGCATATTTGTTGGTAATACTGGATGATATATGAACTCCATTGCTGTTTTATAAACCTAGAAAGCCAACTGTCTTGTTGAACTTTTAAGAATGAAGTCCTGAATATTTTCAGTTAAGATTTACGCTGTTCATTCTCATGACAAGTTTGAAAGGAGTAAGAAGAATAAGTTTTACATGATAAAATGGATAAATCATTATCATCACCTAATTTATGATTAATTCACGAATATTTCGGTTTCATAAGGTATGTCATCGATAAGACAGAGACTGTGATAGTCAAACTATTGCCTTATTCATTCCTCTTTCATGCACTCTATTTTCCGTATCATTCTGTTCGGGACATTAGATCCCCAGAACTTACTTGATAAATGTCCTAATTTTGGACGTTATGTTTTAGCGCATGGGCTGAACAGTTGGTCTTGAGATTGCACTTCCCACCCAAAAAATCCTTGGTTGTTACTGGTTAATGTATTATTTTAGTACGCTATTTTTGCAGCTATCTATGATATATATATAAACTCTATTTGTGAGCTTGTAAACCTCATATTTTCTGGGTGCTTGTTGAATACACTTTCTACGCCATATCAAGACTTCTTCTTCTACTTAGTAAGGCCTTGGGACGTTCGAATTACAGTAGACTATCATTTTACTAGATCATTTGTCTTCGCTCTACTAAGGTGAACTCGTAATAGTTTCCAAGCATATCAGCTGACGAGCACAACACATTCCATTATTGATCTCTTCATGTTAAGGCGTAAATAACCGAACTCGGCCTTATAACATTAAAATTAATAATACTAGCATTATATCACCAGAATGGTAAATTTATTTCTGCATTTATGAGTAGTAGTTATCATGGACTGATATCACTTGGACTAATATTGAAAATTGACGGTCAACAGGCAGCTGTTTCATTTCACTGATAATTTAATCTAAGTTAAGCAAATATTCATCGTTCATGAAAAAAAAATTTAGGTAGCATACAAAATTCAATGTTCCACTTTTTTAAACAGTTATTCAAATAGGGATATTTTGATTAACTGAGTGAATATTTCGACACTACTTAACTAGAATGGACTGAATGAAGCAATATAAAATAATGCAATATTCTATAAAATTGTTCATTTGTGAGAAAACAGTTAATTAAAAAAAAACTATCCTCTATCCTGGAGAAAAGTAAAAATGTTGAATAGTTAATGGATTCGACTGAATTTTAATTATTTTTCAAGAGTATACATTGTGTTATTGCATACCTTAATTTGTTTTTTTTAAATTCAAGTTGTTTTAAACATATATTTCTCTTAATGTTCACAGTTTTAAATGCGTATATCCTTTCTTTTTACATTGAACAATTCATTTAGATAAGTGAATTAGTGTTATGTTCATAATAAACTTTTTCATGATTTAAAAGCAATGGATTTATGTTGAATATATCTTGACGATTTACAAATTTTCCTCCATTAATATTGTTAAAAAAGTAACATTAGAAAAAGGTGAACGTTACGTTTTGATGATGAGTTTTAAGGAACAAAAATTAACATCACAATGATCAATGAGGCATTTATGTCATTATTAAAACAGCACTAATAGATTTATCTCATTCTTAAACAATGTCATTCAGTCAGATGCAACGTAGAACTTCGTACACGAGTACATAAGTTCATGTTGCCATACCACATTAGCACAGAGACTCAATTGTCAATTCAAATCCCATATTGGTAGAGATAGTAGAAGTATTAGCAGTTATGGATAAAATTAGGGATCGAAGATACCATTCAAGAAGAATTGTTCAGTGAGATAACATTAGGAAGACAAAGGTAGAGATGATCAAGAATTCTGAAGACTAGAATTTGAGGGTTCACAAACAGTGGATGCACTTGCCCCACTGCAAACGATTTTGAGCCATGTCATTCAAGGTCTCTAACCATCGGTTACTATCTTCCCGCGGAACCCCAACTACGTAGCCTACATCTACCAACATGACTCAGTCCACTTGTCAGTGACTTTCTGGATTTGTTCTATTTTTTGGTCTGGCCGCCCCTAGCTCTCGTCCAACCTACTCCTACACCACAAAGCATAGCTCCCTAAATGTCACACCTCACCCTACCACATGGATTTCCGTCTACGTCGGTAAGGGTTGCCCGAAACGGTCATAATCAAATCCTTCTTACATCCCCTAATATCTTAAACAATGTAGCCTTGTCAGTTAAAAAATAAAAGTTTTTTTTCCCACAACTCCTTTCATGTAGTTCTGAACATTTTCTTTTATAAATTATTTGTAATCCCACAATGGCATATAATAATGATCATTATTATTATTGCAAACAACAGATCATTTATTTGTTCATTTTTTGGCGGTGGCAAGAATTCAAATTTCTGAAACATTGTTCTTTTTTCACATTTCAACAAATAGGCAGAATTATGTGCATTCGCTTTGACAGATATAATTCAATCGGTTGTGAATGGATCAGATGGCTGTTTAATATCATTTGGTACACGTGATTCAAGTGAGTGAAATTTCTACTTGCATTTGTTATGTATGAAAAAAATTCACCATATCCACTCAACAGATAAACTTAAAAATTACATTAAATTTGAATTCTTAAGTGCCATCAACACTGAAAAAAGATAAATTTGTTAAGCATCAAATCATTTTGAGTGTAATGTGAGAAGAATAGGCTGGGAATAAGGCCTAGAAAATCAGTATGTAAATAGGGGAAAAGTTTGAAGAAATATTCTCATTCCGAACTAAAAGAGCTTCTGTCATTGTGAACTAAATATAAATCGATTTAAAAATTTAAGCATATTTTCTAAAAAAAGAAACATCTAAATAATACTACTGATATATCTGTCTCATAGTATAACCTAGATCAAATTAAACTAACAAGGAGTTTATGTATTCAAGTAAATTTTTTGGTTGAAATCAGAAAAGCGACTGAATCAGAATTTGTATTGTCTTATAGATCCTCGTCAGCTGTTTGTAATCTCAAAAAGAATAACTAAACTTAATAACTATGTTGAAAATTGACATCAGATTTCATATGTAAGAGTTTAGTTGTTTATCGTTGTTCATATTAAGGACTTTTATTAATCAGTGCTTCTTAATATTTAGATATCTTGAGCTAATTGTCTAGATATTACTGTTGATTAAAAGTTTTGGTGAAGTTATATAACTGTTGGGGACGTTAGATCCTCAGAACTCGCTTGATAAATGCCTTAATTTGGATTTCACGTTTCCGAGCATGGGATGATCATTTGACCTTGAGATTTCATTTCCTACGAGGATAATCCATGGCTGTGATTGGCTGCTGTGTATTCTATTGAGCTATTTTTGTGACTGTCCCAAGGACGTTTCTATGCTGTATAAATAAACGAGATTTGTGTGCTTCCTGAGTGTTTTTGGAACATACTTTCCACGCTTATCAGGACTTTTCATTAGTCAGCAAATCAGGTTAGCCTACCTGGACGCTAGTTTATTGTCTCGTTCGCGTTTATCGACTAAGGTGAACCCGTAATAGTTTCAAGCATACCTAGTGACGAACCAAACAATAACGTAGCTAGAAAATAAATCTAAACTATGCATTTCATTTCATTTTAAAATCATCACTTGAATGAGCTCATATACCATCTGCGATGTTTCTTGACAGAGGTCGAAAACTGGCGTTATTACATAAGATAAGATATATATATATATATATATATATATTCGTTTAATGATGTGATATAAAGAGAATACCTTTGACTAAATTCTTTTTATCCTCAGAAGTGAGTTAGATTTTCATTCAATAATTACATTTTGTTAGTTTAGTTTAAGTTACAGAAAACTGAGAAGAATTTATAGAACGAAATGAATTCATATTCATTCTTTTTATTAGCTATTCTCGATAAAATCTTTTCAAATGTAAAGAGTTTCATTTTTTTAATAGAATACATAACACTACTGTAAAGCAATTATCTGAAATTTATAAAGTGGCATGCTAAAGCATTTCAATAACTATGATTTCGTGATAATTAACACTTTTCTTTTGTAGAACATCCTCTCAGTGATTTGTTAAATTGTGATATATTATGCCTATCTGCACATAAAAATTTCCAAAACAAACTACTGAACGTTAGGTAATACCTGCATAAATCTATTGTATATATTTCGAAGTAAACAACCATTATCTTCTTGATAACGAGAAACTATATTCTTTCCATGCTTTTATGTATACTCTATACATAATGGTCAATGACTTATGTATCATTGATGTAAATCATTTCTTTTCAGGCAACTGCTTTCATAAAGTCTATTTCTATCTGTATTGTTAGCATTTTTGTTTTCCTATTTAATCAAGCCTCTATCTAATTTGGTTAACCAATAACCAATGAAATTTGATTTATTGACAAGCATAAATGACAATGACAAGTAGTGTAAATGATCATTGTTATTGATATTTTAACTGTTTTGTAAAGGAAATACGGCAGATCTAGTCGGTACAAGATATCTTTTATTCATCTCAAATGTACCTATTTATTACATTTTACAGGAAATTTTAGAGAGCCGGTTAAAATGTCGGCATTTAGTGTATACATCACGTTTTGCTTCTCAGAAAAATGTTGACTTATAATGCTAATAAGTATTTCTTCACAGTGATAACTTAAATATGATGAAATGATAAATATGCTAATTATTCATAGCCCCGGAAAATGATCAATGAAAATCATTTTAGATGTATGCGTTTTAAACCTTGCCGTAAATTTTATTTTGGGTACTATAAATGAAATTCTAATAATTTTAGTAACAATTTACTGTCATTCCCTTAAAATTGATTTACATTAAACATATAGATAAAGTATTTGAGGAGTTATAAGTTTAAAATAGGTTAAAACTTAAAACACCAAGTGTGCAGAGCACGAACGATTTTGCATGCTAACTGTAAAGCATAATATTCAAGTTTCAATGTTCAGTCAATTATTGACAAATATTAGCGTGTAGTTCATTGAAAATTAAAGATGTACCAGTAAGATTATTCAGATGAAGTGGTGGTTGAGTTTCTAATGAATGGAACTTTACTTCACTTAGGAAGGAAAGTTTCTAGATGTTGACAAATGTAAAGCAAAATGATTGTCCAACAATCACTCATATTATAGTGTCGATCGGTGACCGTTTGTATGAACATTTGGATGTTAAAACGTTAATCATCAATGAGTTTGAGATATTAAAATAGAAACATTTGTTATCATTAACATTTTTAAAAGGAAAAGATTAAAAATATTTGTCCAGCCAAACAAAGACTGCGATCATTCAATGTTCATGGGTTCTTAAGAGACGATCAATCAGTGAAAGACAAGGGATTCATGTGGTATTTCAAACTTAAACAATTTTCAACAAAATCATGAGTCAATCAACGTTAGAGCCCTATCAGAAACGTTTAAGACCGTTTCTTCCAATTAGAGGACTCATCATTGATAAGCATCCCCGACCCTCTTATGCAGGAGTCGAACATAGGACCGTTAAACTAGCATCCATCGATGTTATTGTTCTACTTCAATCAGTTCACGGTGTTGCTTGGGCTGATCTGTAGTCTTCGGTAGATAACTGTCCCACACCATACACAGCTGAACCCCACTGGTTACGATTTCTCGCTAGAACTCGGAGAATATCCTTACCAAACTAGTCAGTATTAAGCACATGATAATTTTCATTATAGGGTTGTGGACATAGATAATTTTATGATAATGTATCATATTTTAAAATGATTTTCACTTCATCTTTTAATAGAACGTTCAAGTAGCTATGTTTTCTTGGAGGACACTTTTCTTTTTCTACTCAGAATAAATCAAATATAACTTTGTAGTAATTTAATACGATTTTCTGCTACGTACAACCAAACAATATTAGACAATCCCTTTGATATTTGCGAATTACTCATACAGATTATTTGTAAACAAATGAACTAAGTAAATAAATATTATTATTCTCACATTGATTTATTTGTTTATAACGACTGTAATTGGAATAATAGTTTCAAAGCAATATACAATATATATATATATATATATATATATATATATATATATATATATATTATAAACAAATTCTTTTCATCTAATCGAACAAGATATATGTATGTATGCGTATAGTGAATTTCCTATTGATTACCAAACCGATACTGTTGATCGTATAGACATAAATTTCGTTAATATAAATGATATGATCATGATTATTTCTTGTTTAGTCAACAATTATTAGAAGTAAATATTTACAATTTATATAAAAATTGTGTCCCTAATTTATTATGGTTGAAGTAAGAGCAAACTTTAGAAAAAAAATTTTATTTTTATCACGGATATAGGCGAATTAATGACGAATCATAAAACATTGTCTTTATAGATGGTTTCGCTTAGTTTGAAATTGAGCTTGAGATACAGATAAGTCACTATAGATTGTGGAATCAACTAAGTTCAAATCGATAATCGATAACACTGAATGATGATTTAAATAATTTTTCAATAGATACCGATTGGTTATGAAAGTCTCAAATGAATTCTCTTTATAAGATTGTAAATGTTAATCTCTTTAGCTATGTACAATTTCATGTGTACTATACATCGTTTCAAATTGTTAAACAGTGAATAAATATGAATAACATTATATCGATTTACTGAAAAATTTGGTAAAGTCCCTGTTTCATTTCATTAATTCATAATTGAATTGTTACAATAAAACAAACGAACTTGATCACGATACTTATTTTAAATGATCAATGGATTTCTGTTTCAAGTACCCTTATTCCCAACTATTGAACTATATAATCAATGTTACGAACAATTTATCCAACTGCCGATTAATTTCCCTCTTTCAGTTTATGATTATCTATTCGGCTTTGACATTTGTTCAATATCATATTTTCTTTATTTCTCTGTCTGATTTCACTAGCTAAAATAACTAACTAAATTTATCATCAATGTATTATTCTCTGTTTCATTCGGATACTTTATACAAGTGATATAATTATAGGTTTTTGAGTAAATCATATTGAATTTTAGTGTTTGCATTCATTGTAACCATTCAAAGGCTTCGCTTTTTTTTGTCTTTCGCCTGATCATAACAAAATCTAATTAATAATTGCACGTAGACTATAATCATTCAAGGTTGATTCAATGTGACTAGTCTAAAAGAATGAGAAGGATGAATTTAAGATTTTTTATTTTTACAATCCTTGGAAATAAATAAAATTTGTTTGTCTATTGTATAGAATGGAATACTGTACGCTTCATTGATCAAATACAATTAATCATCTTCCCTTGATTGCCTTACACCTATTTGAGAGGTACAGATTCATAGTTAAATACTTGTGTAATAGCAACTTACATTGCCACTTGAATTAATGATATATATAATACGTGTGTGTATGTACGAGTTTATCTTATACGCTAGCACATAGAATTCATTATCTAGAGCGGTAGAAGGAGACAACCACGAAAGGTTTATTTATTTGATTAAATAGGTTAGACTATAGGAATAAAAATAAGGTGAAATAAGTAGTATAGTAATATGTTAAACTACTATCTTTCAATGTCTCTCGGGTGGAAATTCGTGTACACTATTCAATATTCCTAAAATAGCCCACAAACACCAATCAGCTACAAATACTATCCACAAATCTCTTAGAAAAAAATTTTTTTATTAAGATTGTCGACACTTTTCTAGGATAATTTCTATTTAAAGTCGAAGACTTGATCAACTTCCTTTCAGTTCCATGTAGATTTGTAGATTCCTGAAACAGAATAACTGATGGAGTAGAACAAAACTGCTATTCAGCGATTTCTACTTCTCAATGTTTCATCAAACTATATCATTCGGAAGAAAATGTGACTTTCTAGCTGATATTGTAACTAGAATAATACACACCAAGTACTGATTTCAAATATCATTTAGGGTTAACTCTTGATTTGACTGAAAGCTATGCTGATTCCTACAATTATCTGTGGGTTAACATAAATTGGGAGGCATTTAGTGAGCGCTTCGATGACCAGTGAGTTCATTAGGGCTGGTCTGTTCAAAAGAACTTTATTTGGTTTGGCCACATGTCCCTCTGTTAGGAACTGAGGTGATTGATTTACCTTCTTTGTTCTTGACTAACCATGCTGATTTACACTATTTTCCAATAAGCTTCTTCGTTGTAACATGTAGTTGTCCCATACTTTTCGCTTTCAACCGCTTGTTATTGGTTCTCCACAGTAGTTTCCTGTTTGAATAGATCTTGTAAGATTTGGAGATTATTGCTGAGAACTGTCTGAAATTCTTTAAGCTAGTCAGTATCCCAAATGATGTCTGATGTCATTCTTTCGCAAGGCTGTTCATCCAGTTGTCCAGTGTTCTTTGAATTTCAGTTTCATCTTGACCACCTCTAGATGGAATTCTGGAGCGATATCAGCGTTGAAATTATTGGATACTGGTGACCTTGAATGAACTATCAGACAGTTGAAAAGCGCTGGCTAGTTATAAAATAACATTGGGATAATAGCTTCAATCTGACTAACTAACCCCAAGCTGTAGATTTATTCCTTGAACTGGACGAAAAAGACAAAGTTCAAAGATTAGGAGTTGGTTTGTTTTGAATCAGAATTATCACTCCATAAAGTTTTATCACAAATTGACGATTCTTCATTGTTTTAAATCTTTCCTTACATTAAAGTTGTTCATTAACCCCTCCTTTCCACTTATAGTCAATTAGAACTGTCCAGAATGATAGAATAAAGGCATTTCTTACTATACCACTTATCATAAGAAAGAAAGCGATCTAAAAGTTTTACATAAACGAATATTTAAATTAGGTTGGGTTAATTAATTTTTTTTTCGGATTTATTTTGTTTTATTGATTGAATCTTATCCGCCAATTGTCTGGTTTCCTTTTTTTTAACTTCCAAACTTCTACAGTAAAATCTAATTCAATGTTTGGTGATGACAAGCAATCGTCTGGTCTTGGCATTATTCCTTCAGCTATCTCTTGGTTATTTCGATTAATCAATGAACAAAAAGAGCGTACTGGCGCACGGTTTTCTGTTCGAATTTCTGCAGTTGAAGTGTATGGTAAAGAGGAAGCACTTAGAGACCTTCTTGCTTCTGTTTCTAATGGTAAATTAACAAATAATAAGTTTGGAAGCGATTAAAAACTCTATCTTTTCTATGTGAACAAGATTTCTGATTAAACAACGACTAACAATTTATGTTGTTTAGAGATAAAAAGAAATCTCACCTTTTATTTAATTATATTTGTTGACTTTGATTGTTTTTCATTTCCTGTTAGGTAAAACAAAATTTTGATTGACGCCATTTTATTTCACGTACAAACAGGCAGATTTTGTTTCTCAGGACGCTTGATTGCGTGTGTGTTTGAGTGAGTAAGTGAGTTAATGAGTGAAAGAAAGGAAAAAATAGGATTTCCATGATAAGCTTAGGTAGTGAAAAATTTCCAAAATAAATCAATAATTTAAAGTAAGCGTCAGAAATGTGTTTCAATTAGTTGGATTTCGTGACCAAAATTAATAAATACTGTCAAAAAATCTGTTCTTCCCTTAAAACATCTAAGGGAAACATGTTAACTGGTTAGCGTTTTCATTTGCATAGGTGAAGAAAAACAATTTATTTTTCCGCCTAGGTTAAAAGATGGAAAGAAAAATTTCGAACCATCCTAGAATTCAAACAAACGGCTTTATGAAAGCACAAATCGATTTCCTCTCATGTACTGTCACTATCAACATTCATTAATCATTCAGCGTAAATGAAGAATAATAATCCAACTAGATATTGAATGGTTTTAACAGATTTATAGAAACATGTCCGGCTGTTAGTTATAAAAGTTAACTGCTCACCAATGCTAGACAACATGAGGGTTAGGGATGTTACAATCATGCTATTTAAGTGATATTAATTAAACTATGAAAGAAATGACAAATGACTAATTAAAAATAATGTTTGAGTTAATAAATATTTATATTTTTATTTATTTTCTCGTACACAAAGCTAATGTTTTTTTCTTTCTCATGACATATTTTGAAAAACAAAAATTTATCCATGATTTACTAAACAAAACAAATATTCTTTAAAATTCTTGGAGCAAATTTATATCAGTCACAAAATTTAAAACAAAAAACCACCGAAGTTTTTATGTTTAGTGAAATAGTGATCGAGTGTGTCTAAGCGGAACCCTAGAAAGAACATTTAACGCTACAAGATCCTCCCTACCATTTTATAACCAGCCACTATTAAGTTCAGAATATAACGCTAAACTACCTAGTTTCGCTATGTAAAAATAAATATATACGTACTTTCCATTTCAATTGATCATGTAAGCCCTATAATGTTAGATTTACAACGAGGCATTTATATCATTGAATTTTTGAAAATCGCTGTGCAATTTCTTAAATTCGTTCATACGTAATCTATCTTCGTTGCCTAATTATCGAATTTACTTTACACATGCTTCATGAATTATTTAATATTATTGATCTATCATAATTTATCTATTGTTAACTTTATGCTTCATTTGAAAACCTGTAATAACTATCAATGTAAAAGAGACTTGACAAGTAACTAATTCAAAAGAAGAAAAATTTTTCTACCTTGTTTAAATTAATATTTTCACTGAATGTTTAAATAAATTAATATCGTGAAATATTTGAATTTCCATTAGAATATTTCGTGTAATGAATAATTTATTTTATGTTAGAATTCATTAAAGAAAAACAAAAATAAAACAAAACATGTACCTCTTAACATTTGTGTTTCATGATATCAATGAGTTGAGAATAGATTTGATCAAGCATATATTAATTTAATTTTGTTTTAAAAGAAAAAAACTGAATTCAGTCAATAATTCTTATAGACAAATACACTAAATGATATTTTCATATGATGATGTTCAACTGAAATAGCTGAAATTATTGATTACGCACTAAATGGTTGATTCATGTTAACACGTGGATATATCTTACGAATAGGTTCATTTTTTTTCTTATAATTTTTTTGGTACCAGTGGTCAACTTTTATGACACTTGGTTTTTTAATCTTAAGCTCAATATCTTATAACGAATGAAAGTTCCACGAAATAGTATTTAAGGAATATGAGGTAATAAGTTTCATTGCAGAATTATGCATATTCGAGCCAAAGTTGTCTGATATACGAGTATTTGTATTCACAATTTACCTATTTTTTTTTAAATTATACAATAAAGCCACAGATGCAGCTGGAGCAAATGCCCCAGGGATTTATCTTCGTGAAGATCCAATTTCAGGTACTCAACTAGAAAATCAAAGTGAACTTAGAGCACCCACAGCAGATAAAGCAGCGTTTTATTTGGATTCAGCATTGTCTGCTCGTTGTCAACCTGTAACAACTGACAGTTCACCGGTTAAATCTCCAACTGCTCCGTCATGCTCAACTTCAACTTCCACTAGTTCAACAATGATATGGAAAAGAAATTCACACCTATTTTTTACACTACATATATATCAGTATAGAGTTGAAAGAAGCGGTATAGGCTCGGGTGGTAAGTGAAATTCCGAATTATTTACATGTTATTTTAATTTATTCTTGTATGCTACTCTCGTATGATATATGATGTTGTTTATGTTAATGTAATGGTACAGAGATCAGATCAATACAATGCAAAACTTTGTACGTAAGTACATCAGTTCAGGTTGTCATATCACATTAGCATAGAGACGCAACTGTCAGTTCAAATCCAACAGTGATAGCAATAATAGAAGTATTAGCAGTAAGGAGTGAAGATATGATTCGAGAAGTATGATTCAGTGAGATGAATTTAGAAGGAGAAAGATAGAGATTATGAGGAATTCAGAAGGTTAGAATTTGAGAGAACACAAACAGTGGATGCACCCGCGCCATCGCAAACGATTTTGAGCCATGTCGTTTAAGGTCTCTAACCATCGGTGACTTTCGTCTCACTGACCCCAACCAGGTAATTTGCATCTACCAACATGACTCAGTCCACTTGTCAGTGACTCCATGGATTTGTGCCATGTTTTGGTTTGGCCGCCCCTAACTTTCTTCCAACCTACTCCTACAACACAAAACATAGCTCGTCGAGACAGTCGGTGGTTAGCCATACGTAACACATGTCCCAACCACCTCAACTGATGAAGTTTCAATACTTCATCTATTGATTGGTAGAGAGGTCAAGTAGGTTTATAATCACAAGAAGTAAATCTCATCAATACGTAGTTGTTCCTGAAGAAATTGTTGTTTACTGTCATACATCGATTTCAAATTCAAAGAATTATGATAGCCAGTCTTTTATTAAGAAATTACGTTAATTTAATACAATTGATTTAATGAATTGTACACTTTCAAATAAGGATAAACTTTGTAGGCTGTAAGAAAAATTTTTCCATAGATAAAAAAAGATTAGCAAGTTGATGCAAATTTTGCATAACAGAAACATTTTAACAAAATTAACATTCCTGCTAGTGCTATGCATGGAATGCATCAATATTCACTTCACTTATTCAAATAGATCTCTGATTATCTTCAACCAAATTCAACGGTTAATAGTAAACTTACTTACTTACTTACTTACTTACGCCTTTCACCCCCAATGAAACATAGGCCGCCCACCAATTTCCTACAGCCAACTCTGTCCTGGGCTTCCTTCTCCAGTTCTGTCCAATGTTTGTTCAATCCGCTCATATCTCTCTCTATTTCTCGGCGTAATGTGTACCTTGGCCTTCCTATTTTCCTTTTGCCTTGAGGGTTCCATGTGGGGGCTTGTCTCGTGACGCAGTTAGGTGCTTTTCGTTGTGTGTGTCCTATCCAATTCCACCGCTTCTTCCTCATTTCCTCCTCCACTGAAATCTGGTTTGTTTTCTCCCACAGTTCGTTGTTGCTGATTGAGTCTGGCCAACGAATACGAAGTAGTTTGCATAGACAGCTGTTAATAAACACTTGTATCTTCTGGATGATGGCTTTCGTAGTTCTTCAAGTTTTCGCTTCATACAGTGGAACTGTCTTGACATTTGTATTGAAAATCCTGATTTTGATTTTGGTTGAAAGTTGTTTTGAGTTCCAGATATTTTTCAACTGTAGAAATACAGCCCTTGCTTTACCAGTTTAATAGTAAACTAGAAGATGAATTCACATTGAGCAGCATTTAATCTACTGTACAATTAAAGGCGTTAGTTATATTTAGAGAATAATATCAATTTTTTTTTAAAAGTTGATAACATTGGAATAGGTCGTGCAGAATAAGCTTTTTTGTGTGATTAAATTATGTAAATTAAGCTTTACACTATCATCATTGATATGATAATCAATGAGCGACAAATAGTTTTTTTTATACTTATGGGAATAAATGAAATGAGATATGTGAATCGATAGTACTTTTGATATGATACTAACTAATACAATGGATATTTGATGTAGGCTATTGTTAAAATATTCTTCATACTAATATAGAGGCAATTTACTATGGAGCACAGCTTTTTCTTCACCTCAGGTTAGCTATTAATTTCAAGAAATTCTATTACTTGTGCGGTGCATTGATTTCTGATGTTTTTCAATTGTTCAATCATTCTGAGAGGCTAACTGTAAGTAGAATTACCGGAAGAACGTTTTGATGAAATCTGGGCTTGATTTGTTTAACTGATACCATAATTAAATGATGAATACAACTGAATAACAAATATTTGTCACTCCTCTTAACATTTCATTCTCATCATTGTTTAGATTTATTACACAACACTTTAGTCTATATTGTGATTATTTCTACTTTTTGATTTACTCAAGTTAACTTTCGATTAGTTTGAGTGAAGAGTTCACAGTGAGAGTATACTTTTAGGGTTTGATTTAATTTACTTACTTTATACACCAAATTGTTAGTGATATTTAACGAAATACTGAACACAGATCTGCTTTCAAATATAATCTGCATTTCTGTTCTACCTGGATCAGTATTCTAATCAACTCTCACTAATACATGGATGATATTGTTCAAGATGTCTTCTAACTTCATTCTCACTAGTAATGTTTAAATTATGTTTTGTAAATAGATTAGAAACAGCTTCATCGTGTGTTCATGTCAAGTAAGAAAAGAACTTGTCTTTTAATAATAATAATAACAATATGCAATAAATTTACTGGTCTTTAAAGATAGAATTCTGAGAATATTACATCGTTTTTGTGTTTGTATACTTAGATTGATGATTATAGAATGATTTAATCAAGTGTTCAAAGCACGATAAACGTTTTCAACACTTCATAGTCATCTGATTCTAGGTTTATATAACCATAAAGATAAATACTTAACATTTTTAATAAACGTTGTTCAACCGTATAACTTACCTTCTTTTCATATAATAATCTGAGAATACCAGTGTTTTTTTTAAAAAAAAGTTAACATTCTTTTAATCAAACAAATAATAAACATTGAATAAAAGTTATGACTAGAACTAAAGTGTGGTTTGTTATCAGTTGTTAAATGCTTCATCCATAATTGAATCAAATATGGTAGTTTTTTTTGTTTAATAAGTTACAAACAAAGAGTGTGTTAGTTATCTTCAATAAGCTTTGAAGAAACTTTTTTTGGCAGGCGACTTCCATAAAAAGTTACATTTACTGAGAGATATTGAAAGGAAAGTGAATCTTATCAATAATCCAATGACAATGTGATCTAAATGTTTTTGTTACAAGATGGCTGCGAAAAAAATCTGATTTTTTCATACTTTAAATTTAGCCCGTTTAAAAAGATGCGTGATGTGAAATTATGGATTGAATGGACTCCTGTATAAAATGATTCAAAAAAAAAATATCTTAGGACATTTCCAAGTGCTTTTATTGATTCCTATGTCAAAATATTGGTTTTGAAAGATTGAAGAGATTCTCACAGAATGTGTAACTTGTAGATGTTAAACCACTTATTGATATTAACCAAACTTTGATGTTTAAAATTATATAAAGTATTTACCAAGCTTATAAACATCGGTTCATGTTATATTTCGTCAGTAGTTATTATGACATGACGTAAAACTTAGTTATATATTCACACAGGAACAATTTTTCATTGATCATTGCCATAAGAATCTGGCTTGATAGCTTTCCTTTAATTCACTAGTTGATCTGCCGCACAAAATGAGCTTTTACGAAGGGCATCTTTGAATATTACCTTGCCTGGTTTTTTAACGAATTACAGAAGTCCTTCAAAAGATCAAATTCAGCTTCACCGGAGACCTCTTTCAAAACTTTACATACAGTCGAAAGAGTTGGCCCAAAGGGAATGCAAATAAAGAATCTATGTACAGCAGAGACTAGTGCTTGCGTACAGGAATAGTATGTTCAGTAGCTTTTTTT